AGGGACCGAAGGAAGAATAAATACCCAAAAGGAATATTCTAAACTAATTGAGAGGAGAAGCCATGGAAGGGGAAAGTATCCCAAAGAAGGGATTAACAGTGTCAGTATATAGCAAAGTCAAGTAAAATGAGGACAGAGAAAGGCCATTGAATCTGGTCATGGAAGAGTCTTGAACTTGGAAAGAATGGTTTTGGTCACGTTTTGCAGCCCTAAAAACTGTGTCACCCTGCTGCGTAGCAAGGAGATTATTTTTATTGGCGAAGTAAACTTCTGGGCTCTTTCATCCTCCTTATGGCAGGGCAGCTATTTTGAATTGGTTAAACTCTAGGAAATAGTAGAATCAATGTGCTCAGTTGTATCAATTTCCCTTTTCTTTTCTTTTCTTTTCTTTTCTTTTCTTTTCTTTTCTTTTCTTTTCTTTTCTTTTCTTTTTTTTTTTTTTAAAGAGTTGACAGCTTCTTTAAACAGACTGGATTGGAGTTGCAGCAATTTTTCACATTACCGTCTCATCTTTACCTTTTCTGATTTCATGTTTACTTTGACCTCACCAGCTGATGATGTGACAGCAGGCAGACAGCCGGCTCTCAAATGATTGCTGTCTTTGGAACCAGTTGCTGTTATGTTGGGTGTAGTCAACATCAGTTAAAAAATATTCTGTTTGACATTGATCGTAGCCAGAATCTGAGGCATTTTGGTATCACTGAACATAGGAGTTGGAGTGAAAAGGCCAAGGTTCAAATCTGAACTTTGCTAGATAATGTCTAAGGCCATAATGTCAAACTCAGATAGAAGGGGGGAACCACTAATTAATAATAAGGATCCATGCAGCTTCTATAATGACTTAGTTTTAAAATGTTATTCCTGTATCAAATTGTTTACCATCTTAGGGAGGGGGGAGGTGAGGAAGGGAGAGAGAAAATTTGGAACTCAACATTAAAAAAAATTTATGTTAAAATTTCTCTTTATATGTAATTGGAAAAAATAAAATAGTATTACAATATATATATAACAGTTTCTATATATTTATATATAATATGTACATTCATATAGAATATAACTTAAAATATATAATTGTATTATATATAATGTATATTTGTGATACATAAATATTTTGTTATATATAACTATGTTTATATATATGTGTGTGTATGTATGTGTGTGTATATGTGTGTGTATCCATACACACACATTTTTAAAATTATGTTAAAATTTGACTTTACATGTAATTGGAAAAAATAAAATACTACTAAAATATATAACAATATCTATATATTTATATATAATATATACATTCTTATATATAGCTTAAAATATATTATTTTATTATATATAATATATTCATAATATATAAATATATTTATGTTATATATATACACAGAAATATAGTTATATATAACATAAGTATATAAATATATAGCTATATTTCTGTGTATATATATATATCATATGTGTGTATGTGTTATGTGTGTATACACACACACACACACATACACATATATATATATATATGTTTTATTGTGTTTGAGGCAGCTAGGTGGGACAGTGGATAGAGTGCCAGGCCTGGAGTCAGGAAGATGAATCTTCCTGAGTTCCAACCTGGCTTCAGACATTTATTAGCTATGTGACCCTGGGCAAGTAACTTATTCCTATTCACCTCAGTTTCCTCTTCTGTAAAATGAGCTGGGGAAGGAAATGGCAAACCATTCCAGTATATCTGCCAAGAAAACCCCAAATGGGGTCACAGAGAGTCAGATACAACTGAAAAATGAGTGAACGCATGTTTTATTGTATTTTTATTTATTTTGTTAAATTTTTCCCAATTATGTCTTAATCTGGTTCCTAGAACAGAGGAATATTGTGAGCCTGAGACCCAGGCTATGTGTTTAGCATAAGATATCATCTAACGTATGACTCTTCTTAAAAAAATTATTCATAATGTAAAGGCATTAAGCTTGAGAAGTCTGCAAACTTTTAGCCTTAGCCATTCCTTGATCCTCCAAACTGTATGTTCCAACATAGTTTTCACCATCCTCTCTTATGCCTGCATTGAAGTTGATAGGGGTAGAAACTAATACTGTGATTTCATTAGTATAGAGAACTCTCTGGTGAGGAAATTCCTTTTCGAAAGTAAATTAGCATTTTCTCTTAATTTGTGGTCTCAGAGGGTTGTCTACCCTAGACAACTTGCCCAGAACCAAATAGCCATTATGTCATAGGCAGGACTGAAACCCTGGTTTTGAGGCTAGCTCTCTCCTAGAAGGAAGCTTCCCTAACACCTCTTAATTCCACTGCTTTCTCTCTTTTAATTATTTCCTATTTATTTTGTATATAACTTGCTTTGTCTGTGTTTGTTTGCATATTGCCTCCCCCATTAGATTGTAAGCTCCTTGAGGGCAGGGACTGTCTTTTGTCTTTTTTGTATCCCTAGTGCTTAGCATAGTGCCTGGCACATTAATAAATGTTATTATATATATATATATATATATATGTATGTATGTATATGCACATATGTATAATATATATATAAATAATATATATAATATATACACACATATATAATATATATGTTATTACAAATAAAAGCACTTAATAAATGTTTATTGATTGATAGTTCACATTGCTTCTCAGAGGATCTGAGAGCCAAAGTATAATATGACCTATGTTGTTCAGTTGTTTCAGTTGTATCCAACTCTTTGAACCCCATTTGGGGTTTTATTGGCAAAGAAACTGGAGTGGTTTGCCATTTCCTTCTCCAGTTCATTTTATAGATGAGGAAACTGAGGCAAGCAGAGTTAAGTGGCTTGCTGCAGTCCCACAGCTAGTGTGTTTGAGGTCAGATTTGAACTCAGAAAGATGAATCTTCCTGACTTCGGGCCTGGTACTCTGTCCACTCTGCCACCTAGCTACCCCTCTTATTTGATCCAGAATCATTTAAAATATGATCAGTTAAAGTATGAGAGTAGGCTCAAAGAATCATAGATTTAGATCTAGATGGGACCTTGTTAGTCACTGAGGCCAATCCATTTTATAGGTGAAGAAACTGAGGCACAGAGAGATTAAATGGATTGCACTGGGTCACTGAGTTAGTGCATGCGTGAGATGAAATGTGAATAGTTCAGTTTAGCTAGAGCATAGCTAAAGTACGTGGAGGAGAGTAGCATTGTATGAAATTCGTCCTAGATTGTGAAAGTCCCTGAATGTCAGGCATGAGAAGCTGAACTTTATATGGGAGACAACAAAGAGTACCTGAAGATTCTCAAAAAGAAGAGGGACATGACCAGATCTTTGCAGTAAAAACAACAAAAATAGTTTATTCTGGCAGCTGTATGAGATCACATTGGAGGGGTTACAGAGTGAGTGGGGAAAGACCTGTTAGGAGAGTGTGACTAGTGCAGGTAAGAGAGCCTATACCAGGATAGTGGCAATAGAATCCCAGAGGAGGGCAAGATGACTGCTGATGTTGGAGAAGTGGCATTACCAAGACATAGTGATGGATTGAATATGAGAGACCAGAGATGTAGAAGAGGCAAAGATAATCCCAGGGTTACAAGCACATGGGAGACAGGGTGAATGGTGATGCCGCAGACAAAAAGAGGAAGAGCAGGTTTAGAGAAAAGGTTTTAGATGTGTTCAGTTTGAGGGCTGATAGAATAGGTAGATGTCCTGTAGGCATTTTGAGATATGGCTGTGGAATTTGTGAGAGAGGTCAGGACTAGATTTATAGATTTGAGGATCCTCTCTATAAAGAAGTTGTTGAAGTTGATGGGTAAAAGAAAAGAGAAAGCCATGAACAGAACCTTGGATTTAGAGAGAAGAAACTCATCCATGGCCTTGGAGAGAATAGTTTCAGTAAAATGGAGATGTATGCCCAATTACAAGGGGTTAAGAAGAGAATGGGTATTAAGTAGAAGAATTTAGAATAAATAGAAGTACTTAGTACAGATAATCCTTGAAGCCTTTTCCAATCCCTCTTAATTCTAGTGCCTTCTCTCTGTTAATTATTTCCTGTTAATCCTAGGTATAGCTGTTTATTTATCCTGTATTTAGCTTATATCTACAGGGGCATATGTGTGTGTGTGTGTGTGTGTGTGTGTGTGTGTGTGGTGTGTATCTATCTATCCATCTATCAGTCTATCTATCTATCTATTGTATATATTTGCTTACTGTGTCTCCCATTAGAGGTGCCTTAGTGTCCCTAGCACTTAGCACAGACTCTGGCACACACTTGGTGCTTAATAAATGCTTATTGAATGACTGACAGACATAACTTTTTCAAAACATTTAGCAGTCAGAGGAGAGATGGAACAGTAGCTGGATGGGGTAAAAGTGTCAAGGGAAGACTTTTCTCAAACTGGGGTGACTTAAGTATGTCTGTAGGCAGAGGGGAGGGAGTTGTTAGAGGGAAAGAAATTGAAGATGTTTGAGGCAGAAGGTGACCTTGGAAGCCAGGTTCTGGAGGAGAAGGAAACATGGGATCAAGGACCTGAGTGAGGAGTAGGGGATGCTATACCTTCTTTTTGACAAGAGGGAAGGAGAAGAAAGTGAAACCGTCTAAAACATAAATGGCAATGTCTTTTATTTTTAAGCTGCTGAAAATTCTGATTTTCCCTACCAGGACAGGCACATGAAAGTTCTACCTGGAACTTTGTCTTCCAGTTGGATTCAGTTTCCTGTTAGAAATAATGCCATATACTATATTTAATAAATATGATAGAGCTTATACATGTTGGCTTAGGGTGACCCAAAGATCAGCACTTCATTGTTGCCCAGCTGCAGTGTGATACAGAGGGCACCCAATGAAATTGAAGATATACGTATGTACATTCAAATACAGAAACCTTCGCAGATTGATGGAAACGGTCACATTAATACTGCAGCTCCATTTCTATTTAAAACACAATGGCCTAAAGCATTGATTTTTTTTTAGCTCCATATTAATTTTGTGATTTCCCAAAATGCTTTAGACTTATTTTTAATTGAGTTTCTTTCTTTTCCCCCAGAAAATCTATCCCTCGCTGCCGAAGAATTAACAGAATGCTCTCCAATGAATCCCTCCATCCTCCCACATTTAGCCGGTCCAACTCCCAAGCCTCCGTAGACAGTACTTCGATGGAGGATTTCTGGTGTGAAGTTGAAAGTATTAAAGAAAACAGTGAGGGTGGACAGGAAGAACAGACAGTCACTGAGGTCAAGCCTGCTGATGGTGAGTAACATCCTATTTTGTTTCCCAGGTTATGAATTCTGTAGATATTTTTTATTGCCTCCCCTATTCCTTTGTTTCTCCCAAACAGAGATCGAAGTAAACATAGTGAGCCAAGAGACTTCCCTGTATTAATGACCTCAGGTTCATGTAAGTTCTTGCCAACTTCAGGGTAACTTGAACTGGATGAAGGTCACATTTTTCCCCACCCACAGAGCACCAGCTGAGCCCTGGTATGAGGATATTTAGGGAAGGAGGTCAGACTCATTCATTTGCGTTGACATGGGATGAGTTACTTTTCTTAGGTTAGAGGTCTTACTTAGGATTAAGAACCCTGGAGAAAAGGCTGACATCCTTGAAGGGAAGCCGCAGCCCTTACACAGCTAACCAGACTGAACCCCTGGGCTATAAAGAACTTAATGGAAATGGGCTGGAGAACCTCCAGTGAGTGAGTGTGACAGAAAGTGCATTGCCCATGGAGCATTTATTAAAGGCTTTCAATACAATGGAGTGAGTGTAAGGGAAGTAGGGCATCCTAGGGACAACCTTCAGAGACATTCTGAGTTAGGTTTGCCTTGGGTGCATGAGGAGAGCAAATCAGACTTCCCTCATTTCACTAGCTGATCCTGATGGAGAGACCCTAGCATTTGGGGCCAGTGGGGATGAGTGGTGTCAGATGCTGAGTTATCCAAATGTCACTTTTCCTGAATGTCTAGTGACCTCAGCAAGAGAAAAAAGAGTGCTTGGGGAGAAGGGAGGGGGCCTGTGAGTGTAATTAGTGGCAAGTGGCCAAGGGCTTGTTGAGCAGGTGTGAACAGGTTTGTGACAAGAGGCAGGTGAAGAGAGTGTTTTCCCTCCATGATTCCCCTCCCCCTCTCCTCCAGTTTCCATCTTGACCTTCTTAAGTCAGGAGTAACTTAGAGGAAACCTGGATTTATCCAGTAGTTTCTTGAATTCACATAGGTATGGGAGAGCAAGTTCATTACTCTCTTATAACTCAAATACAACTCTTTCCTTCTGGATATAGGTACAAATAAGGTACATCATGTTTGCCCCCAGTCTCATGTCTCCAGTCTCCATGAGGCTTCCAAGCATTCCTCTGCCCCACCCCCCAGCAAAGTTACTCAAACACCAGTCTTGTGTTGTCTTGTATCCTCATTATAATATAATTAGCATACATCAGCAGAGCCCTGCACTTACTCCATCTATAAAATCTCCAATGGTTTAGCATTTCTGTGGGCTGATTTTGACTATCTTAATGCTGTTAGCATCATTGTCTCAAAACTCCCATTCTTTCTGTGTCTTGTTTCTCCATAAATCCTTGAGATAACATGTTTAATATTTATCTATGTATAAGTATCTATGTATACATATGTGTGTATACATATATTGTGTGTGCATACATATATGTGTATCTACATTGTATATGGATGCACATATCCTTTATAATATATAGATATGTTCTCTATAGTTTATATACAAACTCTATATGTACATATTACATGTACATAATATATGACCTATATACACATGTGTATCTTAATATATTACCAGACCTATGATTTCATTGGTTTACAGAATTCTACCTTACTAAGGTAGATTGGCATCTGTTCCCGCTATTACAATCTTTGAGAGCTGTCTGGGGTCCTGAATTCTTAAATGATTTGCCAAAAGTCACACATTGAGTATGTGGCAGAACCAATACTTGTACCCAGGTATTCCTGACTCTGAGATTGTAAGCTCCTCGAGGACAGGGACTATCTTTTGCCTCTTTTTGTACACTTAGCACAGTGCCTGGCACATAGCGGTTGTTTAATAAATGATTGCCGATTTTTTTTGTGTGTCATGACAGAGTAAGCTAGCAAGCTAGCAAGATTATTGTGCATGCTATGGAGTTATATTTTTGGGGGAGCTTGAATAATAATAGCAGATAAATTTATGTGAGACTTTAGGGTTTGCAAAGTGCTTTCTCAGTTATATCATTTTCTCCTCACAATAGCCATGTGAAGTAGGTACTATCTTAACGCTGACTTAACAGAGGCAGAATCTGAGCCTCAGAGAGATTAAGTGATTTGCCTGTAGTCTCCAAGCTAATGAGTCTCAGAGCTAGGATTTGAACTGAACTGAAAGGGCTGAGTGAGAACTCAATGCTTTATTATACCTCATGGCATCTCACACTGAGCCAGCCTCTTCTCAGGCCTCTTTGACCCCAGCCTCAATATAGTTTAAGCCCTAAGTTAACCGGGAACTTATTTAGAAAGCATTTATTCCAGGCTATTATTTTGCAAATTAGATGTATTGACCTCTTTTGACGAACTACAGCCCGAGGGTAGGACCAGGGAAAGGAAAGGGTGGGGTGGGGTAAGGTGATTTGTCCAAGGTCACACAGATGTGAAGCTAAAAATCTGGTTCTAGTGTCATATTCTGCTTTACATTATTACAGTCATACACTCATGTCAGCCCAGAGAAGACTACAGAAAGGCAAAATGTTGGTTTGGACTCGTGTCCTATCTCAACAGTTTCACTGTATACTGCAAGGGAGAAGGAAAAGAAGGAGTGAAGAGAAGCCTGGAACAGGGAAATGAGCGTAATTGGCCTTAGTTCTCAGATGGAAAAATGACAGCTTTTGAGATGAATTATTAAGGGTCATGGTACTCAGTTTTAATGAATCACCCCTGCTTCCAAACAAAAAAGGAAAGCATACCAAAGCATTGGCCCTGGGTTCAAATCCTACCCTTGTTACTTACCACTTGTGTGACTGTGGTTGTCCGCCCACCTGTCTAGGTTTCAATTTCCTCCATTGGTTCAGAGCACCTATGTTTTAGGTTGGCTCTGACATTTGCTAGCTGTGTGACCTTGGGCATTTAACAGTATCTCTAAGCCTCAACTATCCTAGAGGTAAAATGGGAAAATAATAAGCAGCCATCTTATTTGCTTTCCTAGGTTGAGGTGCAGAAAATGCTTTGTGGGGGCAGCTAGGTGGCAGTGGATAGAACTCTGGCCTTGGAGTCAGGAGGACCTGAGTTCATATCTGGCCTCAGATACTTGACACTTTATTAGCTGTGTGACCCTGGGCAAGTCACTTAACCCCAATAGCCTCATCAAAAAAAAATGCTTTGTAAAGAACTAAATAAACATAAGGTTATTATTGTGAGGCTGCAACATATGTGACAGCACTTTAAAACAAAAAAAATTATCCTTTTAAAGCACAATGCCTCCGCATTTGTGTAGCTTCAGTATTCTATTGTCTCTTGTGTAGAATGGAATCTCTACAGGTTCAGTCGTATCTGATTCTCCATTACCCCATTTGGAGTTTTCTTGGCAAAGATACTGGACTGGTTTGCCATTTCTTCCTCCAGCTCATTTTAGAGGTGAGGAAACTGAGGCACACAGGGTTAAGTGACTTGCCCAGGGTCACATAGCTAGTAAGTGTCTGAGGCCAGATTTGAAGTTAGGTCTTCCTGACTCCAGGCCCAGCGCTCTATCCACTGTACTACGTAACTGCCCAAACAAGACATAGACAGGAAAAATTGCAGATAATCAATAAAGAAAGTGATTAATTAGCATGGAAGGCCAGCTGACTGGCACCAAGATGAATTCAAGAAAAACATGATACATTGGGAAGAATAACGTCTCTGAATTTGGATTCTATTCCTACCCTTGCCATTTACTATGTATGTGATTTTGGTCGTCACTTTCACCTTCAGGTTTCAGTTTCCTTATCTAATAAAATGGGGGGATGGAGGTGGTAAGTGGACTAGATGACTTTAACGTACCTTCCAGCACTAAATATATGATCCTTGGAATTCTTATGTAGCTCCTTCTTTCCTTGTGGGGACCCCCGATTTACCAGAGGTCATTTCAACAACCAATCAGATGATTTTAGAGTCTTCCTGGCTTCATTTTCCCCTTAGCTCAAGGAGGGTACGGACAATGGAATAAATGCCTTTCTCTTTTATTTCTTTCAAATGTTTCTTCCCTGAAATATACTTGTCTCTGATAGGAAGAGAAGCTAGAGGATCATACTTTTAAGCTATAGACAATTCTTCTCTTCATACCCTGTGCCCCTCACCTCTTCTGGTGAGCATCTGTGTCTAAGACAGGGCTTAATTGATCTTCCATCTTTAGACAGTCTTAAATATCCTTGTAACTGCATCTCAAAGACTGATTTGGCTAAGTCATCTACCTAAATTACTGCATGTGGAGAATAAAGTAATATGGCCATAAAATAATGTGATTCTTGAATATCTGCTTCCTTTACTGAAGGCCACAAAGAGAATGTATAACTAAGTGTGTATTTGGCTGGCCAATAGGAGACAGGGTATTTTTTTTTTTTTAGCAAGTCAGAGATGTGGCATAGTGGATAGAGAATTGGCCTTAGGGCCAGGAAGGTCTGAATTCAAATTCCACCTCTGACACATCCTGGCTGTGTAACCTTGGACAAATCTCTTAACCTCTCAGTAGTCTAGGAAACTTTAAGAGAGAGAAGGTTGTAGAGAAGATGGCCAGCCTGCTTTGGTAGAGTGAATTTCCTTACCTGGGAGTTCCCTAAACCACTGAAATCACAGGTGCAGTTTCTGTGCCTATTCTAATCAAGTCTTATACATAAAACCACATTTTGCAAAACCTTAAATTGAAATAAACAACCTGGAGTCTTCTTGGATGAAAACATTTCCCCAGTAGAGGAAGACACAAACACTTGCTTAAACTTTGTCTCCAGGGGTAAAATGCTGGATTGTCTTTAAAAAAAGTCATCAATTAAGGCTGACTTAGTTCAGATGTTTGTTAAGGTTTATCTTTGAATTATCTATGAGTTTATGAGAACTCCCAAAGCAGGTAGATATCACAAACCAAATTTCAAGTGAAATATTTACCTACTCAAGAAAATGCACTTTACCTGCCCTGGAGTCAGGAGAACTTGAGTTTAAATCCTACCTCAGACACATGATACTCACTAGCTGTATGACCCTGGGCAAGTTACTTAACCCCAATTGCCTTACCAAAAAAAAAAAATGCACTTTAGAAGTCTTTGCAATTACTGTGCAAGCAGAGGTCAGTGCTTCTAGGCTGATGCTAATTCCAAACCATTTTAAAATGTTCTTTATCTTTATGATGAATTTGATAAACATCAACAAATAGGAACATGTTCATATGCAATGGAAAGAAGAAGAGGATTGTATGTGACAGTGGGATCTCTGTTATATCCTGTTTTGTTTAAATATATGTGGTAAAAGTAACATGGTACTCCTACCACTGCTTTGTTTGTCTGGGTCCCCTTCTGAACTGCCTTCTGCTCTCTCCCATGCATATTAAAAAATATTCTGTTGTTTTTCTTTTTTCTGTTCTCTTTAAAATATTACCTTTATAAATAAAATATTAAGTTTATTAATAAATAAAATATTATATTTATAAAACATAATACTATCATTATACCTCACTTTCCCCCAATAAACCTCCTTTTATAGTATATAAGAGTTTAGTAAGCAAAATAAATCTTTACTTTCAGATGCTTTACTTCAGATGCCCACATCTGAAAAATATCTCTTGTTCTGCAGCCACCTCTGCCCAGAGGTGAGAAGTATGAATTATGGGCAGTTTTCTAGAGTAGCTAGCTGATGGTCATAGACACACACATATATACATACTTACATGTATGTGTATCTATCTATCTATCTATCTATCTATCATCTATTTGTGTATATATATATGTATATATATATATACATATATATATACATATATATATATACATATATATATATATATGTATATATATATATATATATCATAATTCTTAAGTCTATCGCCATCTTTTCCTTTGTAGTGCTGCAAAGGAATTGTGATACAGGAATGGTGGTATAAGTTGTTCTCTGGGTTCTATTCACTTCACTCTGGATCAGTTTATATAATTCTTCTCAGGTATCTCTGAATCCATCACTTCTGTTATTTCTTCTGGCACCATAATATCCCATTGCATTCACTTACCATAGTTCCTTCAGCCATTCTTCAGTTGATGGGCATCCACTCAATTTCCAGTTCTTTGATATAACAAAAAGTACTACATAGCATTTTTTTGCACATATATGGATCTTTTTCCCCTTTCTAAAATCTCTTTGGGATATGATATAAGCCTAGTAGGATTTCTAATCACTCTTACCTGTTCATGAAGCAGGATCTTTTTTAGGGAACACTCAGGACAGTTTCAGTTCTTGGATATATGGTACAATTTATATCATTTGACATTTAATTAATCAGAACTCTCCGTTACTGCCTGCTTATATCTACAGTACAGTGAATGAAAACTGATGTTCATTATGATGACCTTGAGGCACTGAATAATTTGGAACTGCCTCTTCATCATCAAATCATTAATCATCTAATCATCAAAGATTAACTAATGTTTAGTTAAATTTTAATTATAGTATGATGTCTATTTTGTTCTAATTCTTTGTAAAAAGTGTTCCCACCCCAAGAAGTGAGAGAGTGCCCCTCCCCCATTCTTGGCAGAGGTGGGAGATTGTAGGAATAGAACATTGAATATAGTGTCAGATTCAATTGATGTATTGCTTAATTTTGCTAATTTGCTTTTTTCCCCACTCTCTCTTTAAAAAAAAAATCTTGATTTCAACAGATTGCTTACTGGTTAGGAGAGGGAAATTGATATATTTGGAAGTAAAGAGAATGAAAAAAGATCAAAAAATTTTAAAGAGAAAAAATATCCTATGCAGTGTATTTAGAGAATAATATATACACATAGATAGATACATACCATCTCTGTCTGTCTACCTATGCATCCATCTTTCTAGAGAATATATTCCTGGGTTTAAGAGATAGCATAACATAGTGGATAACAGTGCTGGTTGATTTTGGGGTCAGGAAGACTTGGGTTCAAATCCTTTTCTTACCAAATACTGGCTTTGTGACCCTGGACAAGCCATTTTACCTCTGAGCCCTTCCAGGAAAATCTCTAAGATCACAAATAGCAGAATAGATCCCTGTCTGCATTGATAAAGGAACACTCCACACATATGGAATCACAAGTCTGGTACTTAAAAAAACAAACAAACATACAAAAGCCAATACCAAATCTCAGTTCAAATCCTACCTGCTACATATCCTAGTTATATGACCACAGGCAGGCTACTTCAATGCTTTGTGCCTCAGTTTCTTCATTAGTAAATGGTGACTGGATTATTGTGAGGCTCAAATGGAATAACGGAGGCAAAGTTCCCCCTAATATCTAACGTCCAACCTCATAACTTGTTCTTATGGTAACTCTAATTTAATCAGAATATTTGATAGGCCAGACTATGTACTAAATAACAGAGAACCTACTTAGAAGTATGGGTCCTTTAGTAAACATTTTGCAGCATAAATTTTAATAAATGAATTCTAACAAGTTCTTGAAACAGTTCATCAGAAATGGTAAGATTTCATGGTAAGATTTTTCATTTCGTTTTGTTCTTTGCCTTAGGTATTTTCTATTTAATCTCCCCCATCCCTGATACACGCAGAAACATGGCATCTCTTGGTCCAGAGAATGTTTGTAACCCCTCTCCGGTAATCCTTTTGCAGAAGGAGAGCTTGAAGCTGAGTGGTTGCAAGATGTGGGTTTATCAACACTAATCTCAGGAGCCGAAGAGGAAGATGGACAGGCCTTACTCTCCACCTTGACTCGAACCCAGGCAGCTGCAGTCCAAAAGAGATACAACACCTATACTCAGACCATGAGGAAGAAGAACAAACACTCTGTCAGAGATGTCCGAGACATCTTTGGAGTTGCCGAGTCTCCTGTGAGTAATGAATATGCTCTAAAAATGTTGTATTGTTTGTTTTAAATTGAAAGCAAAGGCTGGGTAAGGCTAAATCAATTCATTTTAATTGGAAAGAAAATGACAGGAGCACAGTACAAAGTTTTACAGACCATGACCTAAAAATGATAAAACTCTATCCTTCATCTGCAATGTCTCATCCAAACTCAAATTCACTCCCTCTGTTTCTGGAAGTTGGAGAGTTATTTTGGCAATGACGCAAGTTTTGGTTGGCGTGAAGCACTGAGGTATTTACTTATTAATCTAAGCACTGGGGTGAAACCCTGTGATCAAGCAGATCAATGGGGGTGTGCATGTGGCATTCTAAACCTGCAGGAATATTGGTTTAAAATGGTAGGTGTGCATTAATGGCTTTTATATTGCTGTTGAAAGCAAATCATGTCAAAGAAAGAGACTCAGGATTTTTAATCAAATATTATACAGGTACATGAATGTTCTGAAAAGATACTTATCAAAATTTAGTGAAAGACATGTGTCATATTTAGTGAAAAAACATAAGATTTAATTCCATTTTATTTATAGCTATTTTGTGGCCCCAATTTTCCAATGAGTTTGCCATTTTGTATGGCAACTTGCTTCTGTTTCTGTTTACGATTTTTCATTCATTCATCCCTTTAACAGTGTTCACATTTGTGTAGACTTTACATGTAATATCTTGTCCAGTCCTTAAAATATTCTCTTGAAATAGATAGTGCCAGTATTATTACTTCTGTTTTAAAAATGAGGAAGCTGAAGGTCAGAAGCTCAGTTAAATGACCTATCCAAGGTCACACATTTGGCAAGTAGGTCTCAGACACGGATCCTATCACTCCTCCTGTGTTCTTGCTTCCTAGCTCATGAATTGAGCTACTACTCTGTGTAAAGCACTGTATTGCGTATTGTCCCAGTTGAAAATCAAAGAGTAAAAGGCAGGGTGGAGGGAATGGGGAGGTGTTATAAAGAGCTCAGTAGGAAACAAAGCCTGGTGTAATGGATTCAGAAGATTTGGGTTCAGATCATATGCTTTAGTGGAAATGATCTGGGTCCAAAATCCTGGTGTGCTGCATTTCTAACCTTGGGGAAGTTACCTTGGATGTTGAATCTTTGGGAGGTTTCCAAATGGAATTAGACTAGACCAGGTGTTCTCACCCTTTTTGTGCCAGGGACCCCTTTGGCTTTAGGCCTGTTGGATCTCAGAACTCCTTTTCAGTGAGACAGAATGAGTTATGCTATCAAGGGAGTTTGAGATGTAGAGTAGAGAAGAAGAGGGAGGTCATGGTGAATAAAGTGTCTCCATTCTGTAATTTTGTCATAAATAAAGCAGGTCTTCCCTCCTCAAGAATGACAACAAAAGGATGTTTGTCATTTGGTGTCTATCGGAATTATTAGCATAGTTGCCTCAACCCTTTAATTCATTTTGTCCATATTAGTCTCACTTTCACAGAATTCTTTCAGTGGTAGAATTTTTGTTTATTTGACCTGAATATTATCTGGTATATTCAGGACAAAAACTCGTTAGGTACCACAGAAATATATGTTAAACACAAATATGCTTCTAGTTCTTCAGTGGAAGTAGTAGTAGTAGTAATAGCAGGAGCCATAGTAGTAGTAATCATGGTAGCTTTGTTGTTATTGTTGTTTAGTTGTTTTATTCACGGCCAACTCTCGGTGACCCCATTTGGAGTTTTCTTGGCAAAGATACTAGAGCGGTTGGCCATTTCCTTCTCCAGCTCATTTTACAGATGATCAACTGAGATAAATAGGGTTAAGTGACTTGCCCAAGGTCACACAATTAGTAAGTGTCTGAGGCCAGATTTGAACCTAACAAGGTGAATCTTCCTGACTTCAGGCCCCAGGTTCTGTCTACTGTGCCACATAGCTGCCCTACTCATGATAGCTCCCGTAGATAATAGCTGTTTTAAGGTTTGTGAAGCACTTTACATATATTATGTCATCTGATCTTCGCAATAAACTTTAAATAAAAGATAGATCTGTTGTTATCTCTATTTTACAAATGAGTAAGCTGAGGCTATGAAAGTTTATGTGACTTACCCAAGATCATTCAGGTAGTAAATGTATGAAGCAGGATTCAAATTCAAATCTTCCTGAACCCAAAGCTAACACTTTGTCTGCTTCTTAGGAAAACAATATATCTATCCACCCTTTTATTTTTGACATAAGATTCTTACAAGAAAGAGTATCTTAGTTATGATTTATTTCATTTGAGCCTTTTTGATCCATGTTACAAATATTACAGAATCTCTGGCATTAATTAAGCAATGAAGGACCAGTCCATAACAATAATGACACCAAATGACAAATATAGGTAAGAATCAGGTCTTGCCCCAAAATTTAGCTAGCAAGAATTTATGAGCTACTGAATGTCCTATTCTCTAACAGGGCAAAAAAAAAATCCACCTGATTTATTTTGAAAATTTAAAACGTTTTTTATAAATAATTAAGGTCTTGGATTCTTTCAGTTTGAACTAAGTTATAAACACTTGGCGAAAGGATAAATAATCACAATTTTGGCAAAACCAATTTTCAATCAATGCACAGATGGCCATTGCCATATGTTTATTTTTATGCATAACACACATCCAGTCCAGGTTGGGTGTAATGAAGGTCAATATTTTGGTGGCACCAATGGGAGAAGGGATGAGGGGATAGATTCCCAGAATGCTACAAAGAAGAATGGGTAGGATGATCTAGTAAGTGATTGCATAATAAGTCTTGAGGGAGAAAACAAAAAGAGTCCAAGATAACCCCAAGGTTGGAACACAGAAGATCCAAGTCTCTGTTTGTACCACAAATAGAAATAATGAAGTTGGAAGAATGATCTAATTTGGATGGTAAATTATGAACTTGGCTTTGGACATGTTAACAGATGGAACATCCAGGTAGAGATGTCTTAATGACAGCAATAGTAGTATCTGTTTTTGTTTGGAATAATAATATAGCCAATATCTATACTGTGTTTTAAGGTTTGAAAAATACTTTACATAGTGTCCATTTGAGATGCATAGAGTAAACCCTTCACTGAACCCTACCCACCCAGTACTTCTCTTCCTCCTTTCTTTTTCTCTTACTTTTTCTCTTTGTCTTACTCTCCTAATAAAAGATGGATGCTCCTGAGTTTTCTCCTTTTTTCCTTCAGTAGAGAGTATTCTATATCCCCTTCTCAATCCCTCCCCACTCCTCTCTCCCATGTAGAATCAGTAGATGCTAGTGGTGAACAATTGAGGCCACAGAACTTCAGGTGAGGTTAAATTTACATCTTATGGGAAACTCCAGATTAAACATCTTATTAAGTCAATTAGTTCATTTCCTCATAGTCGCTTTATTTAGACATTTATTTATTTGTTTATTCATTTCTTCATTTATTTATTCATTTATTCATTCATTTATTTATTCTTTCACTTATTTATTCATTCATTTATTCATTTATTTGTTCATTTACTTATTCATTCATTCATTCATTTACTCATTCATTTATTCATTCATTTATTCATTTGTTTGCTTATTTAGTTATTTATTTTTGTGAGGCAATGCCCAGGGTGCATTTGCAAGTGACTTTCCCAGGGTCACACAGCTAGTTAAGTGTCAAGTATCTGAGGCCAAATTTGAGCTCACGTCTTCCTGAATGCAGGACCGGTGCTCTGTCCACTGCGCCATCTGGCTGCCCCCCTTTATTTAGACTTAAAAAACCCTCAAACCTAAATAAAACAAGTATTTCCATATGCATATTAAAGAAGAAAAAGGGTTGGACTTGAAACTGGAATCTCTATTGTGTACAGCTTGCTTTAATTTTTACAGATATAATCAGTTCAACATACTGATAATCTTTAAGCATAATGACATAATATAATTAGTTGAATAAATAGAAATTATGCCACTTTACCCCTTTGGTAAAGGAAGTGAAAGTGTAAGAATTAAATGAATGAAAAAATATTATTAAAAGCTTATTATGTGCCAGTCTCTGTGCCAAGAATTACAAATTCTAAAAATGAGACAGTCCTTACTCTCAAGATGCTCTGCAATGCAGATGGAAAGTCCTGGAGGTCCTAAGGGTGCAACAGTGGTGTGATTGGCAAGGCTAAGGGGCCTTAAGTTGCATCAGTAGGTCAGATAACAGTGGTGGATCTGTAAGACATAGAGACAGGGAAAGTTGGTAAGGTCTGAAGAATGTTAGGAGGTAGTTAGTAACAAGAACATTTAGTGAATAGGGCTCATGGTTCTTCATCTCACAAGAGGGAATACAGTTGGTGAGTCCTATCCCCACCAAGCCTTGTGAGCAGTCCTTCAGCCCAGATGGGCAATGGAATGGCCCAGTGCTGAGGGAGGACCACAAGGGTGCCCCTCTTGGTCCTAGGTCTTCCTGCCTCCCAGCCATGAGAGGAAGGGGAGACTTTTGGGGAAAGAACATCAATTTTGGCCTAATCACATCATTTGGGACCTTAGGAAAAGTCCAGCTTGTTGAGTAGCACCTAGAACCCTTGGCTGATAATTTAAGCCTATCATAAATTCTATGGAATCTGTGACCATTGTTGATCAATGAAAATCAAAAAATGTTTGATGGAATTGATATTGTGTAGAGGTCTTGAATTGACTGCGTACTCCTGAGTCAATAGTATGATATGGAAGCTGAAAAAGTTAACGTGATGTTACGTGATGTGGTGAATGGCATAGCGGACAAAACTCGGTAGCTGATAGTTCTTCAGACTAAATCTGCCATATTGTGCTTATTTTTTGGTGCTATATTTTTGGGAAGACATTGACAAATTGCAGAATGTTCAGTGGCGGGTGACCAGGGTGGTAAAGGGGTGACAAGCTTTGAGAACATGTCATATGAGGACTTTTTTGAAGGAACTAGGGTGCTTAGCCCATTTAGAAGGCATATGACAGCTGTCTTCACGTATCTGAGGCCTTGTCGTATGGAAATGGGATTAGACTTGTTCTGTGTGGCCTCAGAGGGAAAAACA